TCATTCATTCATTCAAAAATATTTATCAATAGCCTATTATATGCAAGGTACTATTTTAGATTCTGAGGATAAGAACACTGAATAAACCAACCAAGATCCAAGTGCTAAGGAAATTGACATTAATCTAGAAATAGACATTTAAGAAGAGAACAATCAAACGAACAAGATTATTGCCGACTCCTGGTTTGCCCTAGGTAAGAATTTTCTTCTTCTTCTGAATTCTAGTGAGTAAACAACAAAATCTCTTTGGATGCACTTAATTTATTCACTCATCATTATATGCAGCTATTTGTGTATTGCCTTATTTCTCTTACCAAAGTCTTTGAGTGCAGAAACACTTCTTCACATGGCACATAATAGAAATTTGTTTCAACTACAGGGTTGTATGAATCAAGGGAGACATTGGGAAAAGCACTTTGTAAACTGCAAAGCCATTTTCTCAGATTTGTTGTCTCGGGTGATGCCAGTTATGTTCTTCTTTGGGTGGGTCACTCAAAGACCTGTTTCTCTCTGAAGTGAACAGGATTAATTTCCCCTACCATTCCTTTTCTTCCATTGCCCTATAAAAAAGCAAAACTTGCCAAAACCGGTTTGGCTCAGTGGATAGAGCGTCGGCCTGCAGACTGAAAGGTCCCAGGCTCGATTCCGGTCAAGGGCATGTACCTGGGTTGCGGGCACATCCCCAGTGGGAGATGTGCAGGAGGCAACTGATCAATGTTTCTCTCTCATCGATGTTTCTAACTCTCTATCTCTCTCCCTTCCTCTCTGTAAAAAATCAATAAAATATATTTTTTAAGAAAAGCAAAACTTAAAAGCTATATAAAATGTCTTCCTGCCTTTCCAAAATTTCTAAGGAAAGTTTAAAAGGTTAATACTGAGAACAATGACTTTCTTTTTCATCTTCTGTAGCCCGCAGTAACTTATTTTTCTCCCCAACATTTCTTTAATAATATTTTCAAACTGAAAAATGTTTAGGTGAATACCCATTTATGCACCATTCAGACTGAAGAATTCATGTTTTACTAAACGTGCTTTGTCACAGCTTTCCATCAATCCTTCCCTCCATCCATCAATTCACTCATTTATTTGATTAGTTTCAAAGTAAGTTACAGACATCAGTAAGTCTCCACCTACATACTTCAGTCTGCATATCATTAAGTAGTTAAAATTTGTTAACAGAACCTTTGTTATCATTTTAAGATACGTTTTATATACAATGAAACACACAAATCTTAAATATACTATTCAGTATGTTTTTGACAAATGTATACCTGAGTAAGCCAAGTCTTTATCAAGTCATACAGCTTGTGCCAGAAAGTTCCCTGTGTCCCTTCCAGGTCAGTCCATAACCCCAATAATTCACTTTTGAAACTGTAGGCTCAGATGACCTGTGGGTGTGACTTTTTATCACTATATTTACTGTCAAAAAAAAACCACACAAAAAAACAACCCTCATTCTGTTGCTATTAATTGCTGTGATTAAAAAATACTTTTTTGGATTTAATTACACAATAGTTTGCTTGGTGGCAGAAATATGAATAATGGTAATTTTTTCCCTTTTAAAACATAACTTGGGTTGAGATTTAAGTAGTACTACACTGCAACCTCACTTTTACTTGATGATAAATTTTTATTTCAAGGCCAGACTACATTGGCTCAGTCAATGGGGGTTCATTTCTCCAAATCTACTCTACTGGGTCCTTTTTTAAAAAATTGATTTTAGCCCTAACTGGTTTGGCTCAGTGGCTAGAGCGTCGGCCTGTGGACTGAAGGGTCCCAGGTTCGATTCCGGTCAAGGGCACGTACCTTGGTTGCGGGCACATCCCCACTGGGGGGTGTGCAGGAGGCAGCTGATCGATGTTTCTCTCTCATCGATGTTTCTAACTCTCTATCCCTCTCCCTTCCTCTCTGTAAAATCAATAAAATATATTTAAAAAAATTAATTTTAAGGAGAGAGACTTGGGTGAGAGAGAAACATCAATTTGTTGTTCCACTTATTTATGCATTCAATGGTTGATTCTTGTATGTGCCCTGACCAGGGATCAAACCTGGAACCTTGGTATATTGGGACCACACTCTAACCAACTGAGCTACCCAGCCAGGACTCCTGGGTCCTCATTTAGCATTGTTTCATTTGAACACACTCATAAGGTATAAACCAGAATATCTGGGCTTTTTTCCTCTCTTACTTTGATGCCTTTTTGTTGTTGAAGGAGGATTTATATTCTTGAACAGCTTTCTTAGGCCTACTTAGAAAGTAACAGCGTATCTCTTGAGGTCCTGCCTAAATTTGAAACCCAATATTTCTTATGGGAAGGGAAGTTGTGAGGACTTGGGGAAAAAGAACTGAATCTCTATGTTATATAACCCATATTTAAACAGTTCATCAATATTTTTAGTTCAAAAATAACAAACATTACTGTAGTTCAATAAATTATTCTAGCTTAAATGTTCTTGGAACAGCTGGTTTCTGTTTAAAGTTTTTTGTACAAGCAAATCATAATTTAAATTGTAACATAAAGTCCTTTCCAGTGAATGACTACAAAGGGAAACTTGCTTAATATATTTCTTTCTTTTTTTCTTTTTCAACTTGTTTATGCCACTTGAGAAGTTTTTTTTTTTTTTTTTTTTTTGTCAGGATTTGGGATACAATTGTCAGAAATCTGTTCTGCCCAGAGCCATCTCTGAGTCACTTCCACTATTTATGGAACAGCAACTGTGAAGAGTGGGATCATGTTTAGGTTTTTTTTTTAACAACAGATGATAAATGTCTTCAGGAGCTTATGTAATATGTCGCAGAGCTTCCAGTTTTCAGAAGAGAACAGAGTCCAGGAAGTGGCCTGGTACAGCTTTGGAAAGCATGTTCCCGAGTCTTAAGGTCACAGACTGTCAAAGTAGTAACTTGAGTCAAGCTTGAACAGCCTTTGAAGTTAAAACTGTTCTGTCTTGGAAAGTTGGGATTATGCCTTTTACATTAGGCGTAAGATTTCCATTTCATCTTATTTGCTACCTTGCAAAAGAAGCCTTTGCCTTGGCCTGCTTGTCCTCGCACATACTTGGGATTCCAGAGCCTGCATTTAGGTGGTTGTGTAACAAACACGGCACTCCACACAGACAGCCGTCTCTGCCCCTCTCTGTCCTGCGTGGAGTGCTCAGTAGGGAAGCATGGAGGTTGGGGTGGGGGTATGTTGCACACTGTTTTCTTTCCCTGAAAAGTTTCTGTCCTCTTTTCTTCGTCTGAGAAGACTCATAATCTAGTTCAGGCTTCTGCTTCATCGTGCCACCTGCCAACCAGGAGGCCTAAAACGTCCTGCACAAGTTACGTGCCCTGCCTTTCTGCTGTGTTCCAGGGAGAGGAGCTGTGAGGGTGCGTCTCCAGAATACTTTCCTTTAACCCGTGAACCCAGTGCTGAAATGTGAGGCTGTGCGATCGCCATGTGGGCCCTGCCGGCCACCTTTTCACTCCCCTGACCCGGAAGGCGGAAGCCATGCATGTGAGTGTGTCAGTGGCCTTGAATTGAGGTAGCCAGCTTTTCTCCTGTTTGAATCTCAAAGAGCAAACATGAAGAATATTTCAAAAAATAGGTTTTTCTCTTTCCAAGTAACAGAGATGTTTGTTATACAATTAAAAATATGTCACCAACTATTCCAAATGGAAACTCTCACCATTCCTTAAGATAGAGCGTGATATGAACGCTTATCAAACATGTTGATTTCGTTCCTTGGGCAAAAAGTACTTGTTTTTCTTCCTCAGCAGCACAATGAAGGCTGCAGTTATTAATAAGAGTTTTGGGGAAGATAAATTGATAGATAGATATTAAATATAATATCCCTATTGATTTTTTTTCAATCGATGGTTTAAATTCAGTCAAGTTTTTATTGAGTACCGTTATGTGCTCAGGGCCATTTTATTAGGAAACAACAAAACAAATTGGCTATGGCAACTGAGGAAAATAGATAAAGAAAATTTTTATTTTATTGTGTTTCTTTTCTTAATCTTCCATCATTAAGCTAGCTTCAAAAATTTACAGGCCTGGGTGATCCTTTTTATAAATCCTAAAATCCTAGAAAGGCCCTGAAGCAGTTCAGAAATTGGATCCTTTGATCCTCAGAAACATGTATGGTCCAACTTGTATTTCCTTTGCTTACCATCTGCAAGTGCAGAGTTCTTTGCATTGCTGCCTGTTAAGCACAGTGGTTGGTTTCGTTAAGCACTAGAGGCCTGGTGCATGAATTCGTGCACGGGTGGGGTCTGGCCAGCCTGCCCTGATCAGGCCAATCAGCTGGGCCGGCTGGGTGGAAGGGCCTCCAGCGGTTGGCCCACCAGCCTGCCCCCTGGTCGAACTCCCGATGGAGGGGACAATTTACATATAACCTTTTGTTATATAGGATTGGAGATGTCTACATAGTCGAGTCACAGCATTGGATTAGAGGCCTATGAATTCGTGCAAGATAGATAGATAGATAGATAGATAGATGGATGATAGCTAGATAGATGGATGATAGGTAAACACACACAAAAAGCCTATAAAAAACTTGCAATTTAGGTTCATTTTCATGAAATGAATTAAACTGACTTTAATAAGCTCTGGCCCTAAAAAAACAAGCAAACCAAAACTATAGGAATAATTATTTCACCTGATTTCTGGTGGACTTAAAAAGCAGGTGAGAGACAAAAATCAGTAGGGTATCAAAAGAATTACAAAACAATATTTTTTTAAAGAACGAAGATCCTTCATTTCGTGATAAAGTTGACACACACTTCATAAACTCAGCGCAGAAAACATCCTTTCCGTGTCTGTATTCAGAGGGGGTCGGTTTCCCTCTCGCACGTTAAAAGTTCTGAACTGAGCCCTCAGGCCTCTCTGTCTATAAGCACCATCCAGGCAGCCTCTGTGGGAAGGCAGGGTGATGCCGGCGGGGAGGGAGGTGGGGTGATGGGGATGGGGGCGGGGGGGTGAGAAATCTAGTTCAGCTGCAGCCTTGATTTGCGCCCATCTCTCTCCCTCGCGGGCCCTTCCCCTTTAATGAGGACTAGAAGCGGGGAGGGAGGTGGGGTCGCCTGCCTACAGCCCGTTAACCGCCTGCCTACAGCACCAGAAGGTCACCCCAGCCCCAGCCCCAGCCTGATCCCTTTCTTTGTGCCGCTAATATAATTGGCTGATTGTGCCAGTGATGAGCGCCCCCTCCCCCAGCCCGGTCCTCGCTCCATGTTTGTGAGCCTCACTGCTGGTTTCCGCGGAGAGAGGAGAGCAGCTCAGCTCGGCTCAGCCCAGCTCGCTGCGCGCCTCCCGCACAGGCGGTGCCGCTGCGCAGGTTGATCGGGAAACAGCATCCATTTTCCTCTGCGGGGAGCCCTGCCTGCCCAGGGCGTGCTCTCCGCCGCGGGTGCCCCGCGCGCTCCCGCAGCCTCGCGGAGCCGTCCTGCTTGGGGTCTGCGCCCTAGGATGCACTGAGATGGTGCATCAGGAGAACTGTTCGTACCAGGTAAGATTTACAGCCTGGCTGCGAGGCCGGCATCCTCTGGGAGGGGAGGCCTTCCTCTCGCCAAGCAGCAGGTTGCCTCTCCGGATTTTCCAGGGATTTGCCATTCTCCACTCCTGGCCTCCATGGCATCCAGTATCTGAATTGTAATTAGGTTTTCTGGGACTAATGGGGCAGAAAACACTGTTTCCTTGGCCTTGAAGGCATATGTGAAATCCACCGAGATGATCTGTGCTTTGCGTGTTCTGTATGCCTGCGAATAAGAGGAACTATTTCAACTGTAATTGAATTTAAGGGGCTTGGGGGGTGGGGGGGGATCTAGTCCGGAGAATATGGTGTTTGCTCATTGCATAGGATGTGAGTTGCTTCACGTCCAGTTTTTAGGATTGTCTTTAAGGAAATGATGTAAATAGGAAGTAATCGATGATCTTAGAAATTTTCAAAGATCAGCCAGCGTATCTTTGATGTTTAAAGTTGCACTTGTGTTTCCAAACTTATTTTTACTAATAGATTGTTTTTAGGTGGTTAGTGAATAAGAATGAAGGTACCAACCCGCATGCATTAACAAAAAACTCCAAAGTAGAAAATGTTTTACAATGCATATTCATCTATATGCTAATTTGCTGTCTGGAGTTTATGAATTAAACACTTAGATGCCTTCCAAAGACCAGTTCTAGAGTGTTAGTAACTCCTTCCTGTGTGGAGACAACATGGCAAGTATCCTCCTTGTAAACAGACAGTGAGAATGTCCTCAGAGAAATTGCTCTTTGCACCTCTGGCATGGCTCATCTAAGTCCTGGATAGGTAATATCGGGCTTTACTCAGCTGACCGAGTTTAGAAGCTCTGAGAGACCAGCTCTCTCACTCAACAATGCCTCTTCCTTGTGTGAGGTAGGTTACCTGAGAGGAGCAGGTGTTTCTCCCCAGGTCAGATTTCACAGAGGTAAATGTATGCAGGCGGAATAGGACATTTCACAAGACTTCAGGCAGTGGTTTCTCTAGTAAGTAAAGTGTGCCTGTAGAATATATTTATCCACCTCTTTCTCTGCTTCATAATTGCAATTTTGTAATTCTAGTAGAGTATCTCCCTTTATGGTACATTTAGGTCCATATAGAGCCTACGTATCAAGATGTGTGCTTCACAGAAATTCTTCCCAAGAGAAAGGGGTCAAGATGCTGAGGAAACAACAAAGTCCTCATTCGCACATGAGACAGAGCTCGGGAGTGGAGAGTGTCAACATCTCTGCAGAGCCGGCCTACTTCTGGCACGGCTCCAGATGATTAAATGACTATCATAATTAAGATAATTTTTCTCCTCTCTTTTCAGAGAAACTCTGTAATTTAATTTTTGAAAGACAAGCTACTACAGGATGACTCCCTATATCTTTTCATTAGGTTGAACACAAAATCACTGTTTTTCTTGGTCAAACATTGGTCAAATGTCAGCAGTTTCATCTGGAAAGGAGGGATGTTGTTAGCCTACTGCCTTTTCCAGAGGAGGACAAACTGACTTTCTTTTATATGATCTACAACATGTAACACTGTCATTGTGAGTTTGATAGTTTTGAAGTGTTTATGGCTCATTTTCACAATGCAATTAAGGGTATCAGGCACATTCTGTGGTAGAACTACCTTCATTTGTTTGTTCTTTTGAAACCCCTCCCTTTATCCGTAGCTCAGCAAAGACAAAACCAGTAACCTGGAAGCAGTCTCGATCCCACTTAGACACCTGAATCTTAGAACCCAGCTGGCACCACTGAGATTGGGTTCAGAAAGGCGGTTTCTCCAAGTCCTTGGCCTGATGTTATCATAGTCACTCGTGATGCCAATATCGACAGTCTGATGTGTTTCAGAAACTTCCCCCCTTGGGGATGATGGCATATTCAATTATTTATTTTTAAGAATGATAATGTCGTGGGTTAAAGCAATTTCCCGAGGTTAGCATTGCTACTGAGTAGATAGAATTTATTTCTAGGACTGATTCCTTTCCTACCATAAATGTATACCAACGTTTCTTAAGGGAGAGTTCATGAATGCGGCTTCAGGGGCCATCCCCTCCCTCCCCCCAAATTCCATGCTCATTTTGGTGCCTATGTCTAGATGTATATTATCATTATATTATCATCGTCATCATTATCATTGCAGCAGTAATGGCCTCCTAACTGTTCTTGCTGCTCCTGCCTTGAATGATCTTTTAAAACCTAAGTCAGAGCATGTCACCCCTCTCAAAATCCTGCTCAGAATAAAACTCTGGGCCACCCAGGGCCCTGTTTCCTCTTAGAGTCCCCTCCCACATTCCTCCTTCCCATCATCCCTCCTCCCTCCTACCTGGCATATGCTGCTCCACTTAGGGCTGCCAGATTTAGCAAATCTCCTACAGTGTTTGAGACATGCGTATTCTAAAAAAAAATCGTTCACTGTTTATGAGGAATTCATATTCAACTGGCCATCCTGTGTTTTTCCTGTCAGTATCCCCCATAGCTTATTCAGGTCTTTGCTCAAATGTTACCTTCTCTAGACTTATTATGTCAGCTTCCAACTTTCCAAATCTATCCCAACATCTCTGTTACACTTATGTAACTTATTTGTATACTTGGCATTCATTACCATCTATCAGAGTACATACTGATTTGTGTATTTTCTGTCTCCCTCACACCATGGAAGCTCCATGAGGGCAGGGATTTTCATATTTGTATCTATATGCTTTCCTGGTGCTTAGAACTAGCCCTCAAGTAATATGGATGGGTATGCCTCCTATATATAAAGTACCATAGCATCATGGTTTCTTTTTATAAAATTTTCTTTATTGAAGAGAGACAGAGAGAGAGAGAGAGAGAAGGAGAGAGAAGAACATAGATTTGCATCTCTACCCATCGATGCAGTCACTGGTTGATTCTTGTGTGTCCCCCAACCGGGGATGGAACCGGAAACCTTGGTGTATCAGGCAGATGCTCTAATGAACTGAGCTACCAGGCCAGGGTATATAGCACCCTGGTTTCTTATGTTTTGATATTGTCCTCCCTCCCCCAACACCTGCCGTTAACCTGAAAGTTCTCATTGAGGGTCAAATGATCCCCATATTTCCTGTTGCTTTTCTTATCTGGGAAATGGGATTTTTCCTGCTTATCACCCTGGCATGGAAGTCGGCAGGTCCCCTGTGGGAGGCCACCTTTCTGCACAACCCAGGTCTGTTACCAGAAATTAAGAGCCCGCTCCTTCTCTGGTGCACAGCAGGGACCCGGTGAAGGCTGGGAAGCAGCCAGGGAGAACCATGCACCACTCCCGCTCTCAGTTGTTTGTTGCTAATATAGGAAACTGTAATTGATTCTCGTATATTGCTTTTCCAAGTAGATGATTGCTTTGAAAGAGAGTTTCACTGCTACCAGGAGCCCGAAAACCTCGGTTGCAGGCGTTTTACAAGCACTGTGCATAGAACAACTTCGCCCAAGGAGGGACCATCAGAGAGAACTGCTGGGGCGGGATTTTCTGTGGTGGTTGTGTTTCTAAAGGCTCTCACGTCATCGCCATGTACTTTCCCCCCTCGGGATTTACATTAGCGAAGAGGTTACTGAGGCATGTGTTGTCATTTTCCGTGGTAGCCGTGTTTAGATGAAGCTGTGGGCCTCCATCTTCCAGACTTGGGAGGAAGCCAGCCTCTTCAGGAAAGAGCCTCGCCCACAGCTCAGGGCCTGGCAGCCTCCTCAGGCCACATTCTTCTAAACAGCCCCTGGTAGAAAGCCTGGCGATATTGTTAATGTGACAGCTCAAGTTGGGGTCAGAGGGCCCGTTTTGCTTCAAAGCTCCCAAGTATTTTCTCCTCTTTCCCAGCAGTTGGTTTTTGGGGACTTGTGTGTGTGTATATACAAACAATGCCGTGCTTTCATCCCTTTCCTTCCATCGGCCCAATTGTCCTCGACCACCTCAGATACAGATCATGCCCTCACATTCTTTGCTACTGTGGGAATCTAGCCTTGAAAGAAAAGAAAGTAAGGTGATATGTCAATGACTCTCATCTCCTTTCTCCCTGGGGAGCTTAAAGGGGCTCTTCCTCAAACACACGCCTGGTCTTGAGGAAGCCCAGTAGAAACCTAGAATGCCTCCCCATTTTCCATGGGATTCAGCCCATACCCTTTTGCATGGCCTTTAAGGCCTAACCATGACCTGAACCCCCAGCTGGACACAGTCCTCCCTCCAGATCCCACACTCCTGCCCCTCATTGCCATCACTGCTTTGCTTTGGTTCCTCAGCCTGGTACAGTGGTCGGCAAACTGCGGCTCGGCAAACTGCGGCTCGCGAGGCACATGCGGCTCTTTGGCCCCTTGAGTGTGGCTCTTCCACAAAATACCGGCTCGCGAGCCGCGGTTTGCCGACCACAGGCCTGGTATGTCTCCTGTTCACACTGCACCTGCTTCGACCTGTTGTAGGCTGATGCAACTGTCAAGGCTCAAAGGGCACCTTCCCTTCGGGTCCCCAGACAGAAGTTCTCAGTGCACTTTGATTTTACCTCTGAGAATCCATTTGCAGCTAGTGACATATAAGTCTGTCTCCCCCATTAGACAGCAGTCTTCTTGGAGGCCAGAGCCTTATTTTCCTTTCCTGCCCTACACAGAGTGTGTGTTCGATACATGTCTGTTGGGTTGAATTGCATTTTCTGCGGTTGGTGATGTTCTGAGTTCTCAGGACCAGGATTTCCCATCTCAATACCAGAGAGAAGCTCGGATCTCTGCATTGCAACAGGGAGTTGGTGAAGCTGACCCCAGCAGTCCAGGCACCTGGCTTGTGAGCCTCTTGGCCAGTTGCCAGCATTTCTGACATCCCATCTGCCAAAATGGGGGGCAGGGGAAGACAAAAATGAATGAGACAAACATCCCAGCATTCCCAGAGGCAATGCATTAAGAATATACCTCCGTACCTACTAATCCTTCACCCATGAATTTTCCCAAGGTGAACCTCATGGTCTATCCCCAAGCGCTTTTTCAAAACACCTGTGATAGGTTGAGGCA